TTCTACTTTCTCCCTGCTGCCCGTCGCCTTCTTGCCATTTACTTGATGAGAAACTTAATTCTTTGAAATACTTAAATGCTTTGTACATTTTAAAACAGGATAAGTCTTCTTATATCAGGTCTAATGCATCTGAACTTGGTGGGTATTTATCATACTTCTGGGTTAAAGTTCTATCAAGACAAGAAAAACTGGTTTCCTACAGAATATCACTATTGGGTGACACTTCTGTTAAATCTTTCAGAAAAGCAAGATCCTGGAGAGCGATTTGACTCCGTGAATTGGTTCTCATGGTTAGCATGAAGAATAAGGAGTGTGAATGAGTACAAGTTGTTCCAATGTTTAAAGATCTGGCTATGCTTGTAATTCTCAGACAATGCACTATACTGTAGCTTGGAGAAACACAAACAGGAGTTCTGTCCTTAAAATGTTGCCAGCATTGTTGTATGAGAAGTGCGCAGAGAGAAATTGACTCCTTTCTTTTATCTGTCTCCAAAATACTTTCCTCAGTTTCTGATATAGCCTTTTTCCCTAGAGCAGGTAGTCCTTGACTTACAACAGTTCGTTGAGTGACTGTACAAAGTTACAACAGTACTGAAAAATGTGAGTTATGACCGTTTTTCAAAGATACGACCTTTGCAGCATCCCCATGATCATGTGATCAAAATTCAGACGCTTGGCAGCTGGTTCATGTTTATAACCATTGCTGTGTCCCGGGGTCATGTGATCAATTGTGATCATAAGTCGAGGACTACCTATATTTCTAAACAAACCCTTAGAACAGGAAAAGTTGTGGCAATGGGGTTTTGCAGAGTATGGCATTGCAAAAGGAAGAATCTCTCCCAGCATCCTGAGTTTTTCTTTGATAAAAAAGAAACATCACTTTTTTTGCAGATGGAAGAGTGTTCTGTGGAGTCACTTCCTCTTAATCCTGGCATTTGAATGAGAGTAACACCCTGGTTTATTTTCTGGCAGTTACTAGAGAAAAGTGAAAAACAATGTAAAAGGAATATATTGTCCTAAGCTTATCTCTTGACCATAAAACATTGAGGTGTGGAAGTAGACTTACTAAACTTTTCTTCTTTGAGGTAAATCAATCTTTCAAGGTAGACCAAATTAAATGCTATTAAAAAGGAGAATCAACTTTTAGATAGAAATCTTTAGCATTAAGTATAGTACTCTAAATTATTCTACTTAATGTAGGATCATATACATTGGAAAAGAGAAATTATAGTGCTGTTCTGATCCATAGAGTTAGCAAGTGCAAATGATACAATCACTATTAGCTCTGGAGAAGTTGGGTTCATATGCAACACAAAAGTAAATTCAGCAGACCATAGTTATCTAGATTCACACAACAGTCTAAGCATAAACCATGATTATGGACCAAAATGTCAGGTTCACATATTATAACTCCGGATGACATGTCATGGTCTTCTTTTTCACTGTATGTTAACTTAAACTTGAACCTTAGTTTTGATCCTGCTTTTGGGAGTTTGTTTCATCTTACATTGTTCCCATAAGGTGATTATTGAAATTTGGAAAAATGTTTGAGTAGTATATTTAATTTTTTTTAAAGGAAATACTGAAAAATGACGAAAGATAGCTAAGTTGGGAAAATGCTGTGACTAAATACTATTCAGCGTATGAATGTGACATTTGAATAAGTTTGTTTCTGCTCTTAGGCGCTTCGTCTGAGTAATGCAGCCATGTCAAAAACGACAACCGGTCAGATTGTAAATCTTTTGTCAAACGATGTGAATAAATTTGATCAGGTAAGCCCTAAGGGAGGCACACATTTTGAATGATTTAGCTTAAGAGTGATCTTAGGTAGTGGCATTTTCTTTTTATTCATAGCAAGATAGAATGAAAGTCCTTGGGTTTGCTTGTATGTGTATGCAGTGGATAAAAATGTTTTTAAAGGCTATATCGAATCCTTTGTGGGGTGCATCTTATATTGCGGTGATTTCCAAGCAGTTGTCTTCTTAGAATGGAGGATTGTGATAAGAAGAATAACTTATACAGGTAGTCCTCGACTTACAACAGTTCACTTAGTGCAGGGGTAGGCAACCTTGGCTCTTTTATGACTCGTGGACTTCAACTCCCAGAATTCCTGAGCTAGCATGGCTGGCTCAGGAATTCTGGGAGTTGAAGTCCACGAGTCATAAAAGAGCCAAGGTTGCCTACTCCTGCATTAGACTAAACTGGCTCATGTTGGCTTTTAAAAACTGCCAAGGGTATCTATGATTCATTCAAGGATACTGCAGTGGCAGAACAATAAGTCCCCTTCAAACTGGGCTTCACTCCTTGTGAGCTAAGAGATATGTCTATGTAAGATTTCTAAGCAATATTAGAAAGTTGATTTGCCACTCTCTTCTTTTAGGGTAGCTTTTAAGCATCCTAGTCTCAGCTATAGTTATGATATTTCATGGTAGCCAAGAAAGTATGAACCAGACGTGACTGTGTTTAGTTTTTTGAGATCATTCAGCTAAGCGCAAAGTTCATTATTTTAACCTTGGGCAGCTCATTTTGCTTAAATCTGCCTGTAGATGATTTTGTATAGATTAAAAGTAAATATGCTGGTTTCATGAGATATGGGTTAGAACTCTCACAAACCAGACAGGATTAAACTCTGTCATGCGAAGGTTTTCTTAAATGTCCAGGGTAAATTTTATACCATTAAATAGACAGTAATATGTAGGAGGTATTTTGGCTCATGTGGCCTCAGATGTGGAGATGATCACAGATGATAAATGTCAGGCTAAAAAAGAAGCTATATTTCAGATGGTGCAGGCAGTTGCTGAGGCCTGGAGTTCCATCTTAGTAAGGAGCAATTCCAAGACTAGAGTGACATGCAGAATTCCCAAGGCATTGAAGGAACAACAACTTTTTTATATATATAACCTAACATATCCAGATATTGATCATTTCTGGGTCCCACAGGACTTTCCCCCATGCGCACAATAGACTGGTCGCTGTCGTGATTTTTCTATTTTCAGTTCATTTTGTGAGTCATGTGTATTTCTTTTTTGCCTAGGTGACTATTTTCTTGCATTTCTTATGGGCTGGACCCCTTCAGGCAATAGCTGTGACTGTCCTTTTGTGGCTTGAGATTGGCCCGTCCTGCCTTGCAGGGATGGCGGTGCTGATTATTCTTCTTCCCTTGCAAACCTGCATGGGCAGGCTCTTCTCAGCTCTGAGGTAAGAGTGATTGGCATCTTGTTCCTTCAGAGTGATTAAAAAAAACTCTTTCAACTCAGCATGGATAGTTGTTGTAGTTTGTGTTTTTCTTTTTTTTTAATTTTTATTTTTCCTGAAAAATAAAAATAAAACTGAAAAAATACATTTTTCCCTTAACAAAACTGTGTTATACATCTCCTATATATTATTTACAATTTATTTACATCAGTAATCATATCTTTTTCTTTCTTTATTCTAGCCAATCATAACATTTGTTCCATATTTCATAAAATTCTGTTGCCTCCTTGTCTTTTAATTCTAGCGTAAGTTTATTCATTTCCATGCATTCAAGAATTTTGTATATAATCATATCATTTGTAGGTATGTTTTCACCCTTCCAACACTGAGCATATACTATACGGGCTGCTGTCAATATATGTATAATGATGTGTTGGAGTTGCTTTTTGATCTTTAAATTTATTATACCCAGAAGAAATAGTTCAGGTTTGAATTCAATTTGCACCTTGGTTATCTCCTGTATCCAGTGCCCTATCCGTTCCCAATAGCTCTTTGCTTTGGGGCACAGCCACCACATGTGATAGAATGTTCCTTCCTTATTTTTACATTTCCAGCATTCCGGATTCATATTTTTGTACATTTTGGCCAATCTCGCCAGTGTTAAATGCCATCTATAGAACATTTTGTATTGATTTTCCCTATATGCAGTTGACAGTGTCAGTTTGCAATTTATGTTCCATAATCTTTCCCATTCTTCCAGATTTATATTTCGGCCCACATTTCTCGCCCATGCGATCATTGGCCCTTTCACTATTTCTTCCTCCAGATCTACCTCTAATAAATATTTGTAGGTTTTTGTAGTTTGTGTTTTTCAAAGGTTATATACTTTGAACAAAAAGGTTCAAAAACATGTGTTTGCTAACTCTGGCACCAGTGGAATAGAGATGTTCTTTTAATTTCATCTTTATTATATGTTCAAAGACATACACAAGACCCAAAGTATGCTTTTCTCCCCAAGGCAAATTACAAAGCAGAATTTTTTTAAAAAAGTTACAGAACTTGGAAAAATGAACATAGAGAGGGGCAGAATTCATGACTTGTAAATTTTGATTACATTTATTAATTAGTGTTTCTTTTTAAATGTCTGGGTTTGGACAGCCTAGCATGAAGCATGCAAGACATGTGCAATGTGAAAAAAAACTGTCCTGCAAGTGAGGGATCCTCTTTGTGATTCTGGATGACTTTGTGGTTCCTTCCTGTGCCCAGAAGCTTTGAGAGGACAACCTCTGGCAGATCCATACAGGCAGGCTTGCACCAGCATCTCCAGGGTGGTGTGAAAGCCAAGCTCCTGGGCCTCTGGGGACTGGCAGAGAACTTGCAGAGCCCTCCTTGGTGTAAGCAGTTCTGCTAGGACCTCAGTTCTGCCCCTTCCTCCTAGCTGGCAGGTAAGGGTTGCTTAAGAAGGCAGGCATGCCATTGGGTGCTGCAGGCATTCCTCAATCCTGTCAGGATTTGCTGCTGCTTCTCTCATCTGCTCCATTTTTCCAAGCAGCCATTCCCTCATCCAACAGCTGCGGAGAGCAAAAAGGCCCCAAGCAATACAGGCCTGGCCTCCTGGCCTCTTCATCCTGCTTTTTAGCCTTCTCCAGGTCTGGGAGGCTGCAAGCAGAGCAAGAGAGGATGGGCCAGCTGATGTAGGAATGTTAGTAAGTGGGATGGGCTAGGACCGTGGTGGCGAACCTATGGCACCATCAATCAATCAATTTCAACTTCTCATGGGGGAAAAAAAGATCTCGCAAAATTGGAATTGATTGATTGAACTTTTTAGTTCCACCCAGTCTGCCATTCCCACCGCAGCCACGCCCACCCAATGGGCCACACCCATCCGGCACCTGATGATACATAAGTGGGTTTTGGGTTGCAGTTTGGGCACTCGGTCTCTAAAAGGTTCGCCATCACTGGGCTAGTAAGTAGCTGAGAAAGAGGCAAATGTATTCCGGAGCAAGGGGATGATAAATATGCAGGCCTGTGGTTTGAGAACCTTTGCTTTAAGTAAAAGAGGAATTAATAGGAAGATTTAAAAGCACACATTTAATTGAGTGGGACTACTAGATCACTGTTGAAAACATCTTTAAGACTACTAGCTTCCAATTTAAGAGATCCCTTTCAACAGTCAATGCCATTCTGTCATTCAAGGTGCAGGTAGTCCTTGACATATGAACACAATTGGAATCAGAGCTTGGGGTGCAATCATTAAGTGTCAACACAATTTACAACCTTTTTTGCGACAATCATGCAGTGAATCAAGTTGTTAAGCAGATCTGACTTCCCCCGTTGACTTTGCTCATCAAAAGCCCCCCAGGGAAGTTCGCAAATGGTGATCACGGAGACACTGCAACCCTCATAAATACATGCTGGCTGACAAGAGCCTGGGTTTTGATCACATAACTGCAGGGATGCTGCGACAGTCATAAATGTGAGGACTACTTGTAAGGCAGCCCCAGCGTTAACTTCAAAAGATTGTTAAATGAATGATCGTAGGTCAAGGACTATCTGTATACAGTTGCTGTTCCTGAACATGACTGTATGTTCAAACGTGGGTGAGGATATGTGTTTTCTCTACACCTGGGATTCTTTTCTAAACTAACCTCTAAAGATACTATATGATTAATGTTCAGCCAGACTCTAGGAAAAAAGGTCTTGCGATATAAAAATGGTAGATATGGTGAGATGTAGAACCTTGGACATGATAAAGAAAATCTAGAAATGAGAGGAACATAGAACTCAGAGAAGGCAGGGATCATACAGGTAGTCCTGTTTTGGAATGGCTTACAACCATTCATTCAGTGATTGTTCGAAGTTACAATGGCACTGAAAAAAGTGGCTTATGACTGTTTTTCACACAACTGTTGTAGCATCCCTATGGTCATGTGATTAAAATTTAGATGCTTGGCAGAGGAGAAACGTAGCTGAGCTTCTGGTTGGACCACCATTGCATTTGAACTGCCTAGAGGCTGCTGGGAGGAACTGCAAGCTGTGAGTTATAGGGTTAGCAGTGCATGTTACAGAGGTGTGTGTGGACAAGAATATCAACCTAGCTGTCAAGCAAAATCAAGCTTTTAATAGTGAATGCCACACCAAGTGCACTAATCAAACAGGTGGTAAGAAAATAGAGGAACTCAGGTACCACATAGGTTATGTAGAAAGTAAACACAGGGTCAGTCATAAAGGACTCAAATGTCTATACACCAACGTAGAGAGTATGAGCAATAAACAGGGTGAACTAGAAATTCAGGTAAATGAGGGCAGATATGATATTATTGCCATTACGGAAACTTGGTGGGATGAAACCCACAAATGGAACACACAGCTAGAGGGATTTAAATTATTTAAAAGAAACAGATCAAATAAAAGAGGAGGTGGAGTTGCTCTCTATATAAGAAATAACTACATCTCTACAGAAATAGAGCACAACAATGATGAAAGCTGTCTCAAATGCATTTGGGTCAATATAAAAGGGGAAAAAATGACATTGCCATAGGTGTGTACTATAGGCCACCCAACCAAATAGAAGAAATAGATGAACTTTTTGCTAGTCAGCTAACTAAGGTATGTAGGAAGCACATCACAATAGTTATGGGGGACTTTAATTACCCTGACATCAACTGGGAGACAAACTCTGCACCAAGTGGAAGATCAAACTGATTCCTGACAAACCTAGCAGACAACTTTGTCTGCCAAAAAGTAGAGAAGGGAACTAAGGGAAGTTTGTAGTGGGGTGCCCCAGGGCTCTGTTCTGGGCCCAGTGCTCTTTAACATCTTGATCAATGATTTGGATGAGGGGATAGATGGGGAAGTCATCAAATTTGCAGTCGACAACAAGATGGCAGGAATAGCCAACACTCCAGAAGATAGGCTTAAGATACAGAAGGATCTTGACAGACCTGAACATTGGGCGCTATTTAACAAAATGAAATTCAATGGTGAAAAAAGTAAGGTTCTACATTTAGGCAAGAAAAACCAAATCACAGTTATAGTATAGGTGGTACCTTGCTCAATAGTAGTAACTATGAGAGGAATCTCAGATCCTAGTGGACAATCACTTAAATATGAGCCAGCAGTGTGCTGCAGCTGCCAAAACAGCCAACACAGTGCTGGACTGCATTAACAGAGGGATAGAATCAAGATCATGTGAAGTGTTAATACCACTTTACAATGTCTTGGTGAGGCCACACTTGGAATACTGCATACAGTTTTGGTCACCACGATGTAAAAAAGATGTTGAGACTTTAGAAAGAGTACAGAGAAGAGCAACAAAGATGATCAGGGGACTGAGGCTAAAACATATAAGGAATGGTTGCTGGAATTGGGTATGTCTAGTCTAATGAAGAGAAGGACGAGGGGTGACATGATAGCAGTGTTCCAATATCTCAGGGGCTGCCACAAAGAAGAGGGAGTCAAGCTATTCTCCAAAGCACCTGAAGGCAGAAAAAGAAGCAACAGATGGAAACAAATCAAGGAGAGATCCAACCTAGAACTAAGAAGAAATTTCCTGACAGTTAGAACAATTAATCAGTGGAACAACCTGCCTCTAGAAGCTGTGAATGCTCCAACATTGGGAGTTTTTAAGAAGAGACTCGACAACCATTTGTCTGAAATGGTATAGGGTTTCCTGCCTGAGCAGAGGTTGGACTAGATGACCTCCAAGGTCCCTTGCAACATCATCATCATCATCATCATCATCATCATCATCATCATCATTATCTGGCATGTATTTACGAGGGTTGCAAGTTCATGTGATCCATCTTTTGAGACCTGACAAGCAAAGTCTATTGGGAAGTCAGATTAACAGCTATGTTACTAATTTAATAACATGCAGTGCTTCATTTAACAACTGGCAAGAAAGGTTGTAAAACAGGGCAAAACTCACTTAACAATTGTCTCAGTTAGCAACAGAAATTTTGAGCTCCGTTGTGGTCGTCAGCCAAGGATTACCTGAATTTGAACTGAAGGTAGAAAATATTTCTCAATTTTTTTTCTGCAAAACATGTTCTCAGGTCTTTCTGAGCTACTTTATACTTGTAATTGTATATAATATACATTTATAATTCATAATTGCAAATCTTCAGATTAGAAATGTAGACCTGGGACTAGTTGTTACTTCTGCAAGTATTTCAAGGTTGAATACTGTGTGACTGACTCTCAGGGCAGCTGAGCTGTGGAATGTTTCAGTTTTGTAGCAAAACAAGGAAGTTTTGAGAAGGTGGAGACTTTCTTCATGTTTTTAAAAATAACAGATTGTACAGTGCGCTGGTTGAATTTCCATCCTTTTAGGGGATATTCTTTATAATTTGCTATTTCATTTAGTTATGTGATTTTTAAAATGTATAGCACATTTTCAGTAGTTTCAAATTATTATGATTATTAGATAATCTTATTAATATTTACAGCATTTTGTCGAATTGTTCAGGAGCGTATGTCTGCTGTCTTATGGATGTTACCCTGCATAATCCTAGTATTTTAAGCTGGAAGATAAGATTTTTCAACTTTGCACTCTTTACTATTTTGCAGTAATCTTCTTTATCGGTAATCATAGTAAATATAAAAAAAGCAAACAAGAAAATCAATATATATTCATTTACATGTTCATCTAGATGCCTGCATAAAAATATTTGGGACTAAACCTGAGATCTGGCAAATATTCATGAGGAGAATTCCAGCACTGTGAAATATTAAACTTGGTCCTCTGTTTATCTATTAAAGAACATTTCTCAATAATCCATGACCTTCCACACTGCAGTTAGTTGATTGCTTTGTTGTTGTTAGACACCAAGAGAGAAAACATAGAATCATAGAATTATAAGGCTGGAAGGGACCTTGGAGGTCTTCTAGTCCAACCCCCTGCCCAAGGCAGGAATCCTTAAAGCATCCTGGACAAATGGATGTCCAATCTTTACTTTAGACCAGAGTTCATAAGTTTGCACTTTGCTGTAAAAGCACCCTTGAAGGTATATCTACTTTAAACTCCATCTATGGACTTATCTATTATCTTACATTATCTATCCATCTATATACAAATTCCATAAATTCCAAATTCTTATTCCACTAATCGTTTCTAGTTGTTATTGCAGTCCTTTACCTGACTGTAGTTCCTTTTGCTATTATTAGTCTCTCATTAATTTGAAGGAAGATAGATAGTGAATAAGTGGTCATTTTTGTCTCCTGCTTATGGCTTTACTCCTGAGAATGAGCAACAGGTAATAGATTCTACTAACTGTTACTATTTATTCTATACCTATATGCCTTCTACTAGGATGTCATACTCTCAGAGATGTCTGACTAGGCCAGTCCCAATCCTTGCTTATGTATATCTTCAATTCTTCAAAGCAGTATGGCTTATTGATTGATGCTATGTAAAAGAATCCACTAAATCTAGATAAGCTTTTTTTCATAAGCACCTTAAGTTCATTCACATATGTATTTTAAGTTTTGTTCACTACATCATTATATCTGTTTATGTATTCCTTAACTTTTACTTGGGGGGAAGGAGGAGAATGTTTTTTAATTATTGAAACAGCACAGAAATTCTCACATTAGATAAATGAAAATGTCTGAATAAAAGCCTTTATTGGTCCAATATGAATTTAGAATTAGAGGGTTTTTTTTAAAAAAAAGTTTATAGCTGCCTATTTTTTCTTCAGGAGCAGGACTGCAGCTTTCACAGACGCAAGGATCAGGACTATGAATGAGGTTATAACTGGAATGCGAATAATAAAGATGTATGCCTGGGAAAAGTCATTTGCTGAACTTGTGAACAATATGAGAAGGTGATTTTATATCTCACAGAAATTCTATACCTATGTTGTTTTTTACTTGATTTTTAGCTACAGGGTGATACTATGTAATGCAGGATTTTTTGAATCACAACAAAAGAATCTGAGAATGTTGTGGGGTAAATAAAACCTGTTTTCTCCCTGATCATACAGTGTCCCTTCCTGTAATAAGTAAGATTTATGATTTAACGTAGCAATAAACTGAAATATATCACCATTTTTTCAAAATCTAAAACATAAAATAAAATGCTATGTTGCTTCCATGTCTAATTCTCTGAAAATTTGAAAATACATTTCAAAACATTTATTTCTTCTTAGATTCCTATCCCTTCTTTGCCATAGGACACGAATTCCTAGGCCTTTGCATGTCCCTTTCTGATATTTTAGAAACCTCATGTCTCCTCATCCAAGTGCGCGTTAAATTGAGAAAAAATATACATTGGACATTCATCTTACCAGCCATTGGCTTATAATCTACCCATCAGCTCATCCAACCCTGATCTTCCTGCGCACACCTGTGGATTTTCCCACCACATATCTGCGGATGTTTATGTCAGTTTGGTCTAGTGCTTAAGGCAATAGGCTAGAAATCAGACAAGAATGACTTATAGTCCTGCCTTAGGCATGAAAGCCAGCTAAGTGACTTTGGACCAGTGACTCTATCTCAGCCCAACTCACCTCACTGAGTTGTTGTTGTGGGGAAAATAGGAGGAGGGAAGAGTATTAAGTATGTTCATTGCTTTGGGTTATTTATAAAAATAATTAATAACAGTGAGATTAAAACAAACAAGCAAATATTTGCAGGGCTTCTCTCCCTTTCATTAGCCTTCTCAGCTCCACCATTCTTCAAAGTTTAAAATTACAAATTTTAATGCTAATAATGGTTTTAAAAATGCATATCCTGCCACCCCATTTGGGATTTGTTCATGCCCCTGAGCAAATCACACCCTCCGGTTTGGGGTTCCCTATTCTTGAAGCTCAAAGGTAAATATATCCATTCTCTCTTCCCGTTTTCTGTGAGGTAGGTTGGGCTAAGAGAGAGTGGCTGGCCTCAACTCATTTATTTATTTAGCAGATTTCTATCTCCAACCATGATGAAACAGCTGGGCAGCTGGGCAGCTCACAACAACAGTATAACTATAAAATCAGTAAGAATTATATTTAAAAAAAAACAAACTAAAAAATCTGGTACGTCTATCAATCTCCCAGGGTGCCCCAACCCCTCCCCCACAATAGCCTCCACCACTCTAGCCCAGTGCCTGGGTAAAGAGCCAGGACTTTAATGGCGTTCCGGAAAGCTAAGAGGATGAATGAAGGCCTGCCTGATTACCATGGAGATGGTTTTTCATAAGGCAGAAGCAACCATGGAAAAGGCACGATTGCTAGGTCCCATTAGATGGCACTGTTTCAGGGAAGGAACCTGGAGCATGACCATTTTATATGACCTAATGCAGGGGTAGGCAACCTTGGCTCTTTTATGACTCGTGGACTTCAACTCCCAAAAGTCCTGAGCCAGCATGGCTCAGCTTGGAAACCTCTCCCTTTCCCCTCAGTATGGCTGGCTCAGGAATTCTGGGAGTTGAAGTCCACCAGTTCTAAAAGAGCCAAGGTTGCCTACCCCTGACCTAATGGGAGGGGCAGATAGTCTCATGAAGAGATGGTCCTGAGTAACATGGGCCTATGCCATGTGGGGCTTTAAAAGTGATAACTGGCATCTTGAATGGCATCCAGAAGGAAAATTCAAGCCAGTGGCACTCACACAATAGGGGCTTTACATAGGCAAACCAAGAGCTGCCAAGTACTGTGTATACTGTGGCATTCTGGGCCAGTTGTAACTTTTGGATGGTCTTCAAGGGCAGCCCCATGTGGAGTGCACTGAAATAATCCAAACAAGAAGTTTCTGTGCTTCCATAGCTGAGACTTGAATGGAACCTGGCTGCTTAAGGCATTGTGGAGTCGATGATGCGGTATATGCTACTGTTGTTTTGATGTTATTACTGATGCTGAATTGGTGTTTTTTTTTAATAATGTGGGCTTTCTTCTTACTTAGTTTTTCTAAACCTTTTAGATTTGCTTGGTTGAAGTGTCTTAAAAATACTTGCAATACACAAATACATAGCGTGTTTTATCAAAATTATTAAAATTCAATTTCAGAAAGGAGATTTCAGTGGTTCTTAAGACTTCTTACCTCCGGGGAATGAACTTGGCATCCTTCTACATTGCCAGCAAAATCACAGTATTTATGACGTTCATGACCTACGTGTTGCTGGGCAATCCGATTTCAGCGAGTCGGGTGTTTGTCGCTGTCTCTCTGTATGGTGCAGTGAGGCTGACAGTCACTCTCTTTTTCCCGGCAGCCATTGAGAAAGTGTCTGAAGCATTGGTCAGCGTTAGACGAATCAAGGTATTACCAAAAGGGGACATTCAGTTGAATTTAATGGCAGCATTAGAAATAATTAACAAATTGGTAGCTCATGCTTTTTTTCTAGGCAAGCCTCCGTCTTTTATAGCTAGAGAAAGAGAATGAATAAATATTTGCCTTATGTAATTCCCTAAGGGTAATTCTTAATTGTTACGGATGATTAATTGCTTAGAAGTTGAATTTATGGTGCTTTTTATTGACTAAGGATGTTTAACTGAATGAGCCTAAATGATTTTCAAGGTAATGGGAATGATTATGGATTAGGGACAAGAATAGAGGCACAGTTTTATCAGATAATTTGAAATACAGGGAAAAATACAGAAAAAAAAAACTTTGGAAATACAGAATTATAGTGCAACACTTTTTAAATCACCCTTGATCAATAAACAGCAAATAGATTCTATTGCAAGGGTCTCCTTCATTCCCATTATTTGGATCTGTAATAGAATGTAGGAACAATTCCACTAAATATCTTCACCCAGACATTGTAATAAGGCTTTAGAAACCTGCTAAAAATGATGACAGGCTTTGTCCAGCCCATGAACTGCACATTCAGCACCTCTGCAAAGTTAATAAGAAGAACCAGGCCTTTGACAAGGAGGTTGGAAAATCAATGCCAGGGCTACCAGAGGAAGAAAGTGTCTTTTGCATATGAGAATTTCACTGTATCAGGCATTATGAGGCCATTATAATATTCTGACTCTTAATGGCTTAGAATAGAAGTCATAGAATAACAGAATTGAAAGGGACTTTGAAGGTCTTCTAGTCCCAACCCCTTGCTTGAGCAAGAGACCCTACATCATTCTAGATAAATGGTTGTCCAATGTCTTCTTGAAAATCTCCAGTGATGTAGCACCCACAACTTCTGGTGGCAAGCCGTTTCATTGATTAATTGATCTCACTGTCAGGAAATTTCTCCTTAGTTCTAGTTTGGATAACTATTTAACAGTTTCCACCCACTACGTCTTGTCCTGCCCTCAGGTGCTTTGGAGAATAGGTCAACCACATTCAACATGTAGTCCTGAATGGAACTATACATATCTACATGGATGGACGTAAGCAATGGGCGACTCCAAGGTTCTGTCTTAGGCCCAGTACTCTTCAGCATCTTCATAAATGATTTAGATAAGGGAATAGAAGGTACACTCATCAAATTTGCAGATGATAATAAATGGCAGGGATAGCCAACATCCCAGAAGATAGACTCAAAATCCAGCAGGATCTCAACAGACTTGAACACTGGACCCTATCTAACAAAATGAAATTGAGTGGTGAGAAAAGTACGGTAAGGTTTTACATTTAGGCAAGAAAAACCAAATGCACAGGTACAGATTAGGTGAAACTTGGCTCAACACCAGTAACTGTGAGAGGGATCTTGGAGTCCTAGTGGACAATCACCTAAATATGAGCCAGCAGTGTGCTGCAGCTGTCAAAAAAAGCCAATGCAATCCTAGGCTGCATTAACAGAGGGATAGAATCAAGATCCCGTGAAGTGTTACTACTGCTTTATAATATGCTTGGTAAGACCACATTTGGAATATTGCATCCAGTTTTGATCACCACTATATAAGAAAGATGTTGAGACTCTGGAAAGAGTGCAGAGAAGAGCAACAAAGATGATTAGGGGGTGGAGGCTAAAACATATGAAGAATGGTTGCAGGAATTGGGTATGTCTAGTTTAGTGAAAAGAAGGATTATGGGAGACATGATAGCAGTGTTCCAATATTTGAGGGCTATCACAAAGAAGATGGGGGTCAATCCATTTTCCAAAGCAGCAGAAGGCAGGACAGGAAGCAATGGATGGAAACTAATCAAAGAGAGAAGCAACCTAGAACTAAGGAGAAATTTCCTGACAGTTACGGGTTGCCTTCAGAAGTTGAGTGCTCAATCACTAGAGATGTTTAAGAGATTGAACAGCCATTTGTCCAGAATGGTATAGAGTCTTCTGCTTGAACAGGGGGTTGGACTAGAAGACCTCCAAAATCCCTTTCAACTCTGTTATTCTGTTATATATTATAGTGCGTTTTTTTTAAATCTTCTTTTTTGTTGTGCACAGTTGAGCGTGGGATGTAGTAAGTAGGATTCAGTGCCTATCATTGCAGAAGGCTGTGTGAGGCAAACTCACAACTGCTCCTTGGATATATGAAGGCACAGAAAAAAAAGTTAGAATACCACTTTTCATTCCTGTTGATAATCAGATCTTCATTTGCTATACATGGAATATTGTAAATTATAAACTAAACTATTAGTTAACCATGTTCAAAGTCATAATAAAATAATAACACTAGATCAGTATGTATTTAAAAAGAAACATTGACTTTGTCAGAAAATTATTATTATTTTTCTAATTAACTCAGTTTCCCTACGGAAATGTTCTTTGAATATATGGAAAGCCTTTGATTATGTGAACGTATTTCAGCAAAAAATAAATTAATCTTTTCTGTTTTGTGCTTATACGATCTTCTTTTTTCTTTCCACTGATGCAGAACTTTCTAATCCTTGATGAAGTTTCTCAGTTCAGACCACAACTCAAAAGTAACAGTGAAAATCCTATCCTTAATGTACACCATTTAACTTGCTCCTGGGACAAGGTAAATCACCTTTATTCTGAATGGCAATACAGAATCGGTCCACCTTTGCAGCTTCAACTAAACGATGCAAAATTTGGAGATAGTGATGGCTATCTCTGAACAAGTAGTGTTTTTTCCCCCTTTTCAGGTTGTTGTTAAACTAAAAATGCTTTTCTCCCTCCTTCCAAATAAAATACATTTAGTAATGCAATGAAGAATGTTGCTTTCAGTAAGCAATATGACCTATAGCAGGGGTGTCAAACTCAGTTTCATTGAGGGCCGCATCAGCATTGTGGTTGCCCTTGGGGGGCCGGGTAGGTGTGGCCAGGGTGGGTGCGGCCTACTGAATGGGTGTGGCCAGGGTGGGTGCGGCCTACTGGGTGGGCGTGGATGGAATGGATGTGGCCTACTGGGTGGGCATGGCCAGCTCTACATCGTTCACGTCAAGGGTGCCTGTGGGGGCCTGGGCAGGAATGGGACAGATCTGAGGGTCTCTGGCAGAAGGGGGTGGGACCGGGGCAAGCGCCAAGGCATGGTCCATTTCTTCATTCCTCACAAAAGGTGACACCTTCCCAGCATGCACCCAGGGGTTGGGGCCGACACAGCAGGGGCTGGTTCCTCGCTGTTTCTAGACGGCCTTGTGGAGCTAAGACTGAATGCGTTTCAGCATAGATGGCCACCACAAAATTGTACATTGGCTCCCAACTGGCCTGGGCCAGGGCCAAGGCAGCAGGGGCCGTTCCCTCACTGTTTCCAGGATGGCTTCACGGGCCACATGAAACCACTTTGCGGCCGCATCCGGCCCCCGGGCCTTGTGTTTGACATGTCTGACCTATAGGAACTTAATGGTGGCATCAAGTAGGACCTCAGTTTGAAATCTTTGCCACAAACCGACAAGCTGGCAGTTCATAAACCACTTGTTTAGTTCCTTTCCACCCACTATTATGCTTCTCCCCAGAATGAAACTTATATCCTGCTCTTTAGCAAAGGACCTGGAATCACTACAAAATGCCACGTAAATCTCTTAACTGTGATGATGGTATCATTTCTCCTCACTGGGAAAGGTTGTGGATTTTACTATCTCTGCAGATGATGTAAGAGCAGTAGGATCAGTTGGCCTCAGTTCCTATCATTTGCCAAGGAAACATAATCCAGTTACTACTGGGAGATAAATGCACAAGGTATAAGGAAATTGATACATTGTACATCCCACATTACAGGTGAATTATGACCACAATTAAACCCCAAATTTATGGTGCTAAGTGAAAGATTTGTTAACTGAGTTTTGCCACATTTTATGACTTTTCTTGCTACAGCTGTTAAATGAATAATCTGGCTTCCCCCATTGACTTTGTTTGTCAGAAGTTTGCAAAAACTGATCCAAAGATCCCAGGACACTGCAACCATCATAAGTGTGTCAGTGGCCAAGCGTCTGAATTTTGATCACCTGACCCTGGGGATGCTGCAGTGGTCATAAGTGTGAAAAATGGTCATGTCATTTTTTTCCAGTGCCGTTGTAACTTTGAACGGTCACTAAATGAACTGTTGTAAGTCAAGGACTACCTATATTAGCTCTTTTTAGGTCTTTCAGAACATCTTCACATTTAGTTTAGGTAAATCGTTATTAACCTCACTACAGGTAGTCTTTGACTTACAACAGTTCATTTAGAGACCGTTCAAAGTTACAATAGCACTCAAAAAAGCGACTTATGATGTTTTTTTCACACTTAATGACTGTTGCAGCATCCCCGTGGTCATGTGATCAAAATTCAGATGCTGGGCAACTGGTTCATATTGATGACTGTTGCTGTGTCCCAAAGTCACGTGATCCCCTTTTGCGACCTTTTGGCAAGCAAAGTCAATGGGGAAGCCAGATTCACTTAACAACCAGGTTACTAACTTATCAACTGCAGTGATCCACTTAACAGCTGTGGCAAGAAAGATCGTAAAATGGGACAAAATTCACTTAACAAATGTCTCACTTAACAACAGTAATTTTGGGCTCAGTTGTGGTTGTAAGTCAAGGACTACCTGTCCTGATTTAGATATTCAGAAAAAGAGATATTTTAACATGCCTTTATAAAAGCCAGATATGGTAACTAGTATGTTTACTTCAGCTGGTTAATTTTTGGGGACTTTACAGGCCTCCTTTGTTTTTTGAAACATTTTTTATGAGGGACAGAGATTTGGTAGATACAGTACCTTGTATACCAGGGGTATACCATGAGTCATAAAAGAGCCAAGGTTGACTACCCCTGTTGTATACTGAGGTTCAGTCAGATGTTCCTTTTAAGATTCCTGTGCTGCAGGGTTACCTTTTTCAGTGGATATCTCTTTACAAAGCACATATTATATTGCTAGATTTTTTTTCTGTTTTCTTTTTCTGACAACCATGTTCCAAATTGTATAACTATATGTAAGTTACATTGCAGTTGGCTGAAAGTGGAATGCTTCTGTTGAAGTCAGTGCAAGGTCAAAGTGAGGGAAAACCTTGACTGTATAACCAGAAAGTAAAAAGGAATAAAATGAGCTATTTCCGCCACCTTGTGGAAATTAAAGCATAATGTTTAAGAAGGCCAATGGCCCCTTACTGTATTTCTGTCTGCTGTCATGGTGAAACAATATTTTAGGATTAGAAACAATGGATTATGTTTATACCAACCTTTATTGGAAACCTGATTATTGCTTTAAATCCAATCAAGTATCATGCTTAGGAATATTGAAGGGACCTGGATCAAATAAAAGAGGATGAGAAAATCAATAAAGTATAATGGCAATCGTTTTTTATTTCTGAACATGAAAAACATTTTCTCGTGCTGATTTCTTGCTGCTTATATTAATTTATGATCTGATTAAAATTAATACTATTTCTAATTTTTCTTTGTGGTTTTCTCATTTATAAGAGAATTAGGTATGAATTAAGTATAAATAGAAAAAAACATTAATTTTATAAACCATTATCAGTTTTATATCTATAAGGAACGTATGTGCTATCTTCCATTTTTTTTATCCCATGTGATATTTCACAGATAATTATTTTTTGGGTCTCGATAGATGCGAGTGATTAAACTTTACATTTGGGGAAAGAGTAGTACTCTTAAATTAGATTACTTTGTGCGGAATTGCTATAAGTGTATCTGTAAAACATCTTCAAAAATTTAATACATTTTATAGATTTTTGTGGGGATCTTTAATTTTAA